CATCACCAGTTCGAAAACCAGGAGGAAGCTTCATGTAGACCTCCTCATCCAAGTCACCATGAAGAAAGGCATTGTGGACATCCATTTGATGGACCTCCCACAGACGAGCGGAAGCAACAGCTAAGAAAGTCCGTACTGTCACCATTTTAGCAACAGGGGCAAAAGTCTCATGATAATCAATCCCTTCCACTTGATTGTTACCTAGAATCACCAGTCGCGCTTTATAGCGCTCAACAGCTCCATCCGAACGATATTTACTCTTGTAAATCCACTTACAACCGATAGCACGCTTACCGGGAGGAAGGGAAACCACTTCCCAAGTGCCATTATTATCGAGAGCCTGGATTTCATTCTGCATGGTTGCGCGCCATCGACTATCAGTGACGACCTCAGCAAACGTACGAGGCTCGATAGCAGAAGCTAGAGCTGCCAAAAATGACTTGTGGATCGATGAGAAATTATCACAATTCACATAATGTGCGATAGGATAAGGCGTACCTGAAGAAGGTGAGGAAGCAGGCAGAGCAGCAGAGGGACCAGGGGGACAGGGGGACAGACAGTAGCAGTAACAAATCACGGAGGCGGCTCTAGGGAAAACGGGTGCGATGACCACGACCCAACGCACTGTCTGGCTCAGCAGGAACCAAAGGACCCCCCTATCATCGGAAGGGCCATAAGGGACGACGGAGCAGTCATAGCCGCAGGCGGGACTACAAATAAGTGTTCATCATCTGAAGTCGATGCAGGAGGCCAAGTGACAACAGTAGGGACCGAAGTGGGTGAAGAGGCCGGAGGAGACTCCTCATAAGGAAAATCAGTCTCAACGAAGTCAATGCCACGAGATACTAAGAAGATTTGTCGATCCAAATCATAGACGCGCCATCCTTGCCCAAGAGGATAACCCACGAACACCTCTTTATGACTGCGACTAGCAAATTTGTCGCCACGACGGTCCCGGTTATACACATAACACAAACACGCAAAGACACGTAACCTAGAATAATGAGGCAACTTTCCATAGAGCATCTCATACGGGGTTTTGTTACCCAAAACACGCGAGGGAGTTCGATTGATTAAATGAGCAGCCGTAAGAACACAATATCCCCAAAATTGAAGAGGTAGATGGGCTTGAAATCGCAACGCACGAGCCACATTAAGAATATGTTGATGTTTCCGTTCAACACGGCCATTCTGCTGAGGTGTACCAACACAAGAGGTTTCATGTAAAATACCTTCACGACGAAAATAATCAGTCATACACATAAACTCAGTACCATTGTCACTGCGAACCACACGCACCAAAGTATCAAATTGACGCTTAACCATAGCAAAAAAAATTCATTAAGATAGAAGACACTTCTGTTTTATCACCAAGTACATAAATCCAAACACCCCGAAAATAATCATCAACAATGGTCAAGAAATAACGTGATCCACAAAAGGCAGGAACCCGATAGGGCCCCCACAAGTCACAATGTACCAAATGAAAGATGCCATCACTAACAGTATGACTAAGAGAAAAACTGTCCTTGGTCTGTTTGGCCCGAAAGCAAACATCACACGACTTATTCAAAACAGAAGACGAAGAATCAATAAAAGACAAATGTGACAAAACACGATCTGATGGATGTCCCAAATATCGATGCCACAAATCAGAAGAAACCTTCATTACTCGAGAAGACGCAACTGAAACTGTCCCCCAAAAGAAATAGAGTCCCCCTATCTGCTCACCCGCTCCAGTCACCATCTTCGAAGTGCAATCTTGAACGACACATAACTTGTTAGTAAAACAATAGAGGACAAATAAAACATCATGTAAAACAATAGAGGACCCCAAATAAACAGTGCCCAATTGACTGGCTGATGTCAAGGATCCATCGGGCAACTGAACAGGGCGAGCAGGTATGTCACGAACATCACACAAAAATTCGAAAAAACCTGTCATATGATGAGAGGGACCACAGTCATACATCCAATCATATAAACTTCGCTTACCAGACGACTTACTGTCCTGTTTAGCGGAGTTAATCAAATGAACAAGCTGAGTCCATTGTGCATCCATCAATCCACTGATAACACGATCAGAGGAGCTAAGCCCGACATTTGAGGAGGTCCCAACTTGCATGGCGGCTGCGGCAACGTTTGCTTGGGCAGGAGCACCCCCTCCACGACCGCCGCGGCCGCGCCGACCTCCTCGGCGGCCAGCACCACCACGGGGGTACCAATCCGGATAACCGAGAACCTCGAAACAGCGGGTCGCGAGATGTTCGCTTTTCCCGCAGTTGTAACAGATACGCTGACGACCTCCGGTGCCGTTTGGAACACCACCGCTGCCAGGCTGATCGGGCTTGGAGCCCGATATCTGTGGTGAGAAGCCCGCCGGTGAGAAGGCATGAGAAGGACCATGACCGTCACGGCCTCCGCCTAAGGTGCCGTCACCAGTCCGCACACCATGGGCAACATCCTATCCGCGAAAAGAAGCAGATGGACCTGTGCGGATGGCAAAACTGGCAGCGGCTGAATCTATGGTATCATCGGCGAGAGAGATGGTTCGCATCCTTTCCTCCTGGATGCAAGTGGAATAAACCCGATTTAGAGGCGGGAGCGGTTCCTGGGCCAACAAATTCGAACGAGTAGCGCCATAGAGAGTTGCGTCCAGTCCCTTGAGAAATTGATGAACTCGGTCACTTTCATATTTACGATCCCATTCGGCCTTCAAATTGCACTTACAAAGACCACAACGACACATGGGGGGTTTCTCATAATCAACTAATTCTTCCCAAAGTTTGGTGATCTTACCGTAGTATGCTTTAATATTCAAACCCTTCTGCTTACAAGCCGCCAGATCCGATTTGAGTTGTTGAATTCGAGGACCGTTCTTCATCATAAATCATTCCTGTAAAGAGCACCATAAATCTGCTGCAAGTTTCGGTTCCACCACAGGCGAACGAAGTGTGGCATCAATACTTTCATAAGCCACGACAGCAAAAGGGCGTTGTTTGCTTGCCAATCTTCAAACAAATCAGAGTTAAGATCGGACAGCGAGATGGAACCATCCCAAAATCCAAACTTCTTGCACGCACGAAGAGCGGTACGGATGCTACGAGACCATTCTTCATAATTGATGTCTCCCTTTAATTAAACTTGAGTGATCAAAAGGCCCGGATTGTCGCTTGAAGTGATGTCGTATGGAGAGATAGTTTTTCTGGGAATAGCAGCCGAGCCTGAGCCTGAACCTTCACCGGAGCTTGAACTTTCACCGGACATGGCGATGGCAGTACAGGAACGAACGAAGAGAGAAA